AGCTTGAGGCAGCTGACCACATTGCATCCACAGTCAAGAAGCAAAAAGCAATGAATGTTCAGCTGGCTTTCTCCATTCATTTATACAGTCCAGGAGCCCAGACTAGGGAATGGCACCACCTATAGTGGGCACACCTTCCCACCTCAATTAACTCAAGCAAAATAATCCCCCAGAAATATGCACAGACACCTTCTCTCAGGTGATTCTAGATCTCATCAAATTCACAACTGAGATTAGCTGTCACAGATGTCAACTTGTACCCTCGTGATCATAGGACGACTGCTGACATTTAAGCATTGTATCTGCATCTATGACTAAACAGAGGAAGATAGGAATGGGTATCCCCAGATGAGTACGTCCCTTTTATCAGAGAAATACAAAGCCTTGCTAAGAAATCACCCATTTCATTAGCCAACTGTCTCACAGCACATGTAACCTGTGATCATGAGGGAGACTGGGAAAATGAGCACTCAGCTTTTATAGTGTCAGGGTAGAAGAAGCAATGGTAAAGGATTGGAAGAGTTGGCTTAGCCAAACTGATGGTGAAGTCTTGTTACTAACTGTGAGTTTTAATACCCTTGTCCTGTATGTAGAGTGGAGAAGAGCTGGGTCCCAGGTACAAAGTTTTGGATGTGAAGTCGAAGGGGGAATGCTGAGATGGATTGTTGGAGGCTTGTCTGGGATGTGTGCCCCTTGAATCCTACACCTAAAATCCTACATCACTGGGTTGGAGGGATGGTCTCCTCAAAGGTTCAAAATTAAAGGAAATAGCTGGGAAGAATGGGAGTGAGAGAAGGGAGCAGTCAGGCCTCACAGGCTGCAGTCAGGCAGTTCCTGCTGTAATGACATCTGCCACTAGGCCAGAAGGTCCTCACCCAGCCCTTGGGAGGATTTCAGAATTCTGTAAGGGCTGTAAGAGGCTAAAAGTGCCCAAGACAAGTGTATTTTCCAGTCAGGGTCTCAATTCTAGCTGAATTCCTCTGACAACCCAGCAGTCCCAGGTCTCCTGAAGCCCACAGCAAGTGGGCCCTTCACCCAGAGTTGGCCATGCTCAGGGCATGCTTCTCCTGGGCCATAATCTCAGTGTATAGTGAGGCCTGATGATGTTGTTTGGAACTCTGATCCATAGGAAGTGGTATGACTGTATAGGGCCTGGGGCACCTCCTCCATAGTCCCTCATATGGGAAGGGGTCATAGAAATCCCAGCAAACTTGAGTCCTTGCCACTACCTCTCTTCTCTACACCCTAGCCTTTCCCACAGTCTTGGAATCCCAAGGGCCCCTCATTCCTGTCACCATCCTGGCAGATATGAGGATATTTTAAAGAGATATTTGCAACCCCTCCCAAGAAACTGAAAGTTCACCAAGAATCTCATGCTGGGAGAAGGAAAAAGGCTAAAGGCTGGTGTCAGCCAGAGAGAACTTGTCTCTGGGAAATATATTTCACACCATTCTGATAATTCATAGGACCATCTTGCATGAGAGACTGGGGCTGAGATGATGATGGGCAAGACAGAGGAGGATAGGAAGGCAGGAAAACATCTTGGCGACATGAGACAAGAGAGGAGCCCTCCCCCCCAGGATCCAATTGAAACTTCTTGCCAGCAGGGAGGGAGAATTCCAGCACAATTAAAGCTGCTTAAGGCCTTTCTCCCTTCTCAGTTGTAAACCTGCAGTTTTCTAGAAATCTCACAGGAAGCCCCATTTACAGTGAGAGCCATCTCCTAAACCCTCTGCACAGCCTAGTGGCTCCTGGTTTTCCTTATCAGAGTACAATTCCATCCAAGGCAACTCCCAGAGCCATACTATAATCTCAGTTATCAAAAGAGATAAAGGGGATAAAAAGGTTTCTTAGCAGTGTTTTGAGATATAAGTTGAGAGCCACCACAATGGTATTTGTGGCGAGTGCTTGACACAACTGATTGTGGCTCTTCCCTCAAGAGCCTGCACTCCTGCTTGGATGTCTTACTCCCTGTGACTTCCTTGAGAAACCCACACTCTTACTTTTGGATATATCGTACTTTCTTCTGAGTACCTCTCTTTCTCTTAACACTCATTCTTAAAGTCTATATTAAAATATTAATAGGTCTCAGCACTCGGGAGGCAGAGGCAAGTGGATCTCTGTGAGATCGAGGTCAGCCTTGTCTACATAGTGAGTTCCAGGCCAGATGTGGCTACAGGAGACCCTGTCTCAAAAAGACAAATATTATATATATATATATATATATAAACAGGGGCTGGAGAGATGGCCCAGTGACTAAGAGCACTGGCTGCTCTTGCAGAGGACCCAGGATTTGGTTCTCAGCACCCATATGATGGCTAGCAACTGTCCACAACTCCAGTTTAAGAGATCTGACACCCTCTTCTGGCATCTAAAGGCATTGCTTGCACATGGTATACTTACACACATGCAGGCAAAACACTCATACACATAAAAATAAAAAACTTTTATTTTGGTCTTTTTGAGACAGGGTCTCCCTGTAGCCCCAGCTGTCCTGGAACTCACTATGTAGACCAGACTGGCCTTGAACTCACAGAGATCCACCTACCACTGCCTCCCGAGTGCTGGGATTAAAGGCGTGCGCCACCACACCCACCTAAATAAAAACTTTAATGACGATAACATAGAAATAAAATTTTTAAATTTGAGGAACTCCTCAGGCCACTGAGAGTGACAGCATGGAGTTGTGTTGTGTCCCCTCACCACTGACAGGATCATACTTTCTCCAAGAGATACCTCTTGCCCTCTATTTAAACTTGAATTTCAAATCAGTATTTCCAAAAATAGACTTGTGGGGTCTCTAAGCCTCTTTACTTGTTGCTTTTCTTTATGTGGCTACATTGAAAACAAATCCCCTTTCTCTTGTTTGTTTAATTGGCCTATTGAAGGCAGGTAGCTAAACCCTGCTGGGGCTGCCAGGGTGCAGGCTCTGACCCCCACAACTCTACCATGCTCAGTGAATACTTGGAGACTGACTTCCTAACCCAGAGAAGCCCCCTTCTCTTACCCAAGCATCTAGCCATTGATTGGTGACCTCAGGTAGCTATCTCCGGGACTTCTGTAAGGGCGGGGCTGGAGCAAGGGCGAGGGCTGAACACACAGGCCTGTGAGAAACTGAAGGTAGAGAGGTGAGAAGGAAGGGAGGAGGAAAACTAGAGAAGAGAGGGCAAGGTCTGAGGCAGAAAGAAGGGGAGTCTGGGGACTCTTGCAGAAAGACACCCCCAGCTCACAGATGAAGGACGATAGAGGAGAGGAGAAGAGGGAAGGGGAGCTTGAGGACAGAAAGTGTAGGAGGCAGCTGCAGAGAGGGAGGGGACTGAGGGAAGGAGAGGGCCTACAAAGGAGTTCTGGGGAGTGAGGAGATATTTCAGATAGAGGGTATTAGGCCACAAGAGCAGAGGCTGTGGGAACTCAGCCAGAGCTGTGCTGGAACTGAGGATATCTGAGTCAACCAGCACTCCCAGACTGCTTCCCCGACAGACAGGTGGCCAGTTTGGGCTGTTTGTTTTTAAACAACATTTATTGTTTTCTGATAATAAAATAAAAGAAATCAAACAACATAGGTGAGCCAGGTGCAGCTTAGTGGTAGGGGACTTGCCTAGTGAGGTCCTGGTTTCCACCTCTAATGTGTGTGGGATACAGCAAAAGGAACGAATATTTTGGAGCTGTACTCTCAACAAAGGACACAGCATGCTCATACCTGTAGGGTCCCTAACAGACATGTCATCTCTGCCGTTTCTAGGAGCCATTTAGCAGGGAAAGATCGTCTCAGCTGCCTGTTGGAGCTGGTTGTTTTCTGGGCTTTGTTTTGGGTAAATCTCAGAAGTATCAGTTACTCTGAGTTTCACACACTCATCGAACTCCTAGGAAGTGCAGCCATTTCACAGCCCGGGGAGGGGACATACCCCTTGGTGGAGGAGTGCTGGGGGCAGCAGGCTTTAGCCTAGGGACTCTGAGCAATCTGGAAGCCACAGACCCCCCAGATCTTGCTGTCACTCCACTTCCCCCTGCTCCAAGGGGACAGCTGAGGTGACACAAGCCTGCTGCCCTATTGTTTTGCTGTTTCTGTGGTGGAGAGGCATTTATAGACTCAGTGGTGAGTCACTCTATGAATCAGCAATGGGCAGGGAGAAACTGCCCACTGAAATTGAGGAGACATGGTCTAATGATGGTTGTCCTGGATGCCCCACTTTAAGTGCAACTCTGCCTGAATCCTGCAGTGCAAAGAGAGGGGAACTTGGTCTGAGACGAGCCAGTCCCCTATTCTCACAGAGGTGGATTTCTCCTAGCTACTTGGGAAATCCCCCAGCCAGATGGAGACCCCAACTTTGCTGTCCACCATGTGGCACAGCCAGATCCCCAGACCACAAGCTCCTGCCTCCTCTCCACCTGCTACCCCAGAGAGAGGGTTAACAGAAGCGAGGAAAGGTCAAGTATCCTAGCTTGAGCACCTGGTGGCCAGGCAGGCAACCTCACACCAACATCCCACCATTTCTTTTAACTGTGTATGAGTGTTTTGCCTCCATGTATGTAAGTGTACAGTGTGTGCATACCCATCAGATGTCAGAAGAGGGCATCAGATCTCCTGGAACTGGGTTGTGGATGGTTGTTAACCACCATGTGGGTTCTGGGAACTGAACCTGGGTGTTCTGTGAGATCAGCTAGAGCTCTTAACCACTAAGCCTGTCTCCAGCCCCATCCCAGAATTTTTGTCCCAATTGGATTCTTGCTTCTGTGTTCCCATACATGGGGGGAAAACAATCTTGAATAAATAATTTATTGAAACTGGAGGAATAAATATGTAGGCATGGTTACAAATAAGTGTAAAAATTATTAACACACACACACATACACACACACACACACACACACACAAGTAAGTTCTCATTGAGGGGAGGGGCTTTGCTGCAGGCAGGGCCAAGGCCTCTGAGAGTGTCCCACCTCCACCCCCTTTCCTGAAGTAGAGGAGGAGGAGGTAGCCACCATCTCCAGATCCTAATTTAGGAGCGCTTGGTGGTCTTGCTGCCCCCCAAGTGCCCCCGCAGCTGCACCCCTTGCACGATCCTCTGCACCCAGGAGCGGTGGGCTAGGAGGCTGGTGTAGACACCAGGTCGGTTGCGCTCTGCACAGCCCTCGCCCCAGCTGATGATGCCAGTCAGTAGCCAGGCACTTTCCACCTGGCACATCAGGGGACCCCCGGAGTCGCCCTGCAGAGAAGAAGGGAACTCAGGGAACCCACACCGGCAGGGCTAGGGTTGTGCCAGAGCTCAGGAGTCCTACTTAAAGGCTTCAGTACCAAATTCAAGCTAGGCATGCCCCTGGGAAGGACATGCCTCCCAAACATTTCCTGTGGAATGTCCTCCCTACACCCCCAGGAGCCAGAGATGAGACTCTTTCTGTTTTACTGGTTGGAAATGATTTTCCCCAACTGGCAAGGCAGACACTATAACCAGGCCCTATGCTGACCACCTCAGGCCTGGATGCTCCACCATCCCACCACCCTCATGAAACTAGCCCTTGGGGACAAGTGTTCTGTACCACCAGGACCCTCCTCTGAATGCCAGCTCCCAAGCTAAGGTGGCATCACTGAGGCCCTCAGTACACAGTCCAGGTGTGAATAAGAAAAGGTATGGCCCAGCCAGGCTGAAGGGGCTCTGTTGGGAGGTGAGCAAGCGTGTCCATGAAGGAGGTTTTGGGGAAGGAGATCCAGACAGAAGTGATAGAGATCTGTGTCCTCCCATCCAGGGTGGACAGAGAGTGGGTGCTCACCAGACAAGCATCTCGCCCGCCTTCCAGGTAGCCAGCACACAGCATGTCTTGGGTAATGGTTTCCTGTCCTCCTCCCCGCCAGTACAGGCTTTTGCAGACTTTCGAGTCGATGATGGGCACCTTTAGCTTCTGCAGGGTCTGAGGGTGGGGCAAGGGCACTGGGAACAACAGAGGGAGGGAGTCAGGCCCAAGTCCCCTTCTTGATTCCTCTATTCACCCAGCAGCATTTCTCAAAGGTAAACAGATAGTTCTACTGGGCTCTCCTAAGATGCCATCAGAAAACCCCAATTTCAGGCTTCTCTAACTCTTGACCCAGTGAATCTAAACATGGGTTCTGTGTCTTTAATAAGCTCCCTGATGCCCACAGAGGACTAAAGATACAAAACAGTGTTTCTAGACTCTGACACTACTTTGTCCAGCAAGAGCATTGTGTGTGTTCAATAAATATCCCCCGGGGTTCTGAATATCATCAGGGCCCAAGGAGCCCCACATCCTCCCTAAGACTAGTCTGCACACCCCAAGGAGAGACTGCAGTCTAAGAGTCCCAACATCTGCCCATGCCTGAGGAGTTCCTCTGGAGCCAGGCTAAAGATCTGCTTTCCTTGGTCTTTACCTGTACCCTCTGTCCTCCAGGTCTCTGCTGTCTTTCATAGATTTTGTCTGTGTTTTGTTTGTTTGAACTTGGCTTGTTCTGTCTAACTGCTATCTTTCTCTTGCTTCTCTTCTGCCTCTTTCTTTATTTCATCTTGTTTGTGTTTGTAGATGGACTTTTCCAAACCTCCAGACTTGGTTTGAAAATTGTTTTACATTGATAAGGCTGCATTTCCTTCTGGGAATTTCGCTTGCAATTGAGACATGCTACCACTTGGAAATCTTAAAGCTGATTTATTTGTATCTTGCCTCCTACTTCCAGCCCTTCCTGTGCTAATGAATAGCTTTACAAATCTCTATTGTTGCCCTAAAATATAGCCAAAGATTCCTTTCAACTAGAAATGATCTAAAATTGGCAGGTGGTTTCTGTGACTTCACTTCTCTGGTCCCCCCAGTTCATATTTTCTTGTTTCTATCATGTTATGCCTCTGGCCCCTACCTTCTCCTACCCCTACTGTCTATATCCAAGTAGCTGCCACAGTCTATCTCCAGCCATCCCTGACCCCTCTGGGATTGGAGGGGGAGCCGCACCTCCATCATGAATGCTTCCCCAGCCTGCAATCCAGCAGTCAGTGTTGGGAGGGAGACGGACAGAGGAGTCAGGCAGGCAGATGGGCAGGATCCGCTCAGAGAACAGGATGGGGTGTTCCAGGCGCACCAGAGCAATGTCCGCTTGGGTTCCCTCCTTCCAAGAGTACCCAGGGTGGGGCAGCACCCATGCAATACCCACCTGCTGGGACCGTGGGCCAGGGTTTCCCAGCTTCCAGGCCCCCAGCAGTATGGAGAACAAAGATGGCTTGTCCACATTGCTGGAAGGGAAGGGAAGAGGAAGGAGGGAGATGTCAGGGAGAGGCTGCCTGAGGCGATAGCAAAAGTATCAAGGTCCCTGGAAGACAAGGCAACCTTCCTGCAAGAATCAGGGTCTCTAATGAGGGGCATAAGTTGGAACAGAGGCCTGGGCAGCCCAGAGCCTACAGCAAGAAGTATGGGTCCTGGAGAGTCAAGGGCAAGCCTGATATCACATACCCTTTGAAGCAGTGTGCAGCTGTGACCACCCAGCGGTTGGTGAGCAGGGAGCCGGCACAGTGGTGGGTACCATTCTTGCGGATGCTCACGATCCAGGGCCACTGGGCATCTGTGCTGTCCTCACCACCCACAACCCGGTTCAGCTGCTGGGGCTTCCCACAGTCTGGGGGCACTGGCAGAAGAGGGTTGAGTCCTCTGTCGTCTCAGTAGGGACAGTTACCTTCTCACTTGCCTACCACCCAACCTCCAAGCCCTCAAGCCATGCCCTAGCCTACCATATGCCCAGTACAGCGTTCACTGCAGAGTGGGCTCCAGCCTGCCTTGTCCCCTTTAGCTATCTTGGCATTGGCCCTTTCCTTCACCTCTCCAGCCCTCTAGCTGGCCTTCCCTTCTACTTTCCTTCACTTTGACTCCCTTGATTCAATTGACTTCTTACCCTTCCAGCCTTTTCTCCTCTAGATCTTTTCTTCCCCCTGGCCTTTCTTTCCTGTATCCCTTCTTCTCCAGCTCCATCCCCCTTCTGACTACAGGCCCCACTTCTAACCTACCTCACATAGTGGGACAGAGACTGCCCATACCTCAGGCTTTCCCACCCCCAAGGTACCTGCTCACACTCACCAGGGATGTTGGCAGCATTGAGGGTGGCTGAGAGAAAGAGAGGAAAGAGGGTCAGTAAGGTTCAGTACCCCATGCCCAAGGGATTCCCCATCCTCTCAGACAGGCCCTGCAGCTCCTAGGCAGGCACTTCCTAGGGGCTCACTTGGGACAGACATCTCCTCGGGGCCTTTCCCTCCAGTCTACTTCTCAGTCACCTAGGCTTGTTCCATTATCCTAAGATCCCAGGCACCCAGGCTTGTTCCTCCAACTCCTGTGGAGGCTGGGGCAGCTGCCTTTCTTCTCCACTAGAACACAAGAAGTAGACCCAAGAAGGAAAACACAGAAGAGGAGATGGGAGATGGAGGACAGAGGGAGGAAATGATGATGGGTATGATGAGCCATGAGGATGAGAGGAATCCTGAACACCCACCATGAGCAGAGCACTCACCTGCATTCAATCCTTACAGCTACCAGGGAAACTGAGGTTCAGAGCATGGAGTTAACATGCTAAAGAAGGAGACAGAGACACAGAGACACAGAGAACCAAAAGGAGGCAATGGAAGGAAGAGAGATCAGATTCAAAGGAAGGTGCTAAGCTGAGCTGGCAGGGAGGGAAGGAGGAGGTAACCCTGGGTTGGAAGAAGAGGAGGGAGGAGAGGAAAGGAGGAGGAGCAGCAGGTCTTTGGAGCTTACCTGTGGAAGCTAGAAGCAGCAGAAAGATTAGGATCCTGAACTGGTCCCCACCTAGTTCTGGAGGAGGTCTGGAAATCACCATGGCTGGTGGGGGTGGAAACCCAGCCAGGCCACCAGCCATCTCAAGGGACCTGAGGGCTGTGCTGGTTGAAACAAGCAGGGCTGGGATAGGCAAGGCAGATGGCTGTAGTGTGTAGGGTTCCCTGCAGGTCACCCCAGGTTTTATCCTGGGAGGTGGAATGCTGTTGGACCAGTCCCCCAGGTGACTGAGTCTGGGTCACCCAGGCTGTGGGTTAAGGAGAAGGTGTGGCTGCTAGGAAGCAACAGCCGTTACTGGGGGCTGGGGTCACCACCATGGACCTGGATAGGGGGCTCAGGCCCAGGCTCTTGATGTGTGCCTTGATGTGTGCAGCCTCCCTCCGGAGGGACAGGTAAGGGACCTGCTGGCAATCTAGGGCATGGCTTTGTCACTGGCTGTCCAGGTAGGCAGAGAAAGGTCTCTGCAGCTTGCAGAGGGTCTGGGGTGGGAAAGGGCTAGGCTTGGAATGACTACAAGTGAGCCACAGGGTATTAGGGGAGGCTGATTGGGGGGACCTTGTTCCATAACGGCTCCTGCCTCAGGGCCCTGCCTGCTGCTGTGACTCAGTCCAGACACTCGGGGCCCTGGAATCCCGTTAGCCCACTTCCCGGAAAGCTGGTATGATGGCCTCATGGCCATTTGGCCAAGGTGTCCCTGGTACTTCCTTCCAGTTGTCACTATAGGTGATACTTCTCACCTGAACTCCTGGGAAGAGGAGGAGCCAGTAGTGACTTGGGTGGAATCAACCCCATCAAGGGAGCCAGTGGCCTTTGCTCCCCCACCCCAGGACTGGTGCTGTCCTTGCATTCTGGGACCCCTAGAAAGGGCCATGGCACTGGGTTTCAACAGAGCTGGGCTTCCATGAAGCTGGGTTTTGGGAAGCTGGGGCACTGCTCATGGGGCTGGTGTGGATTGTTCTTGAGTCAGCATCCCATACTGGTGACACCCTCACCTCTAGCAAGAACCAGTGACCTCTTCCTAGAAAGACATGCACCTCAGCCCAGTGGTTCATTTTTGGGCTCAGACCTGGTTATGGAGGGAAATAAGGCTAATAAAAACAACACTGCAACTTCGAAGTGTCCTGGGCAGGATCAGAGGTGCCTGACCCCACTGGAGGGGAAGGGGGTCACAGGTTGCTCTGAAGAGAAAACATTAAACATAGGTGCCTGAGAACACGTGTTGGAACAGGGACAGCAACGTTGTTCCTGGGAAAAAAAAAGTGAGGTGGCTGTTGAACCCGACCTCACCTCCTGCCCAGGCCCCTCTGGGCCAACCCACAGCTCCCGTAGGAGTTCCCTGCCCTGTGTCTTCAAGCTGTTCAGAGCTGGCCCTGAAGGAAGTCTGTATTGCTCACCTTAGCTGACACACGGAGCCCCCTGCCCACCCCCACCCTTACTCCCATCCCCACTGGCAAGGTGAGATCTTACAAAACCCTACCTGGGTACCATGGACTGTAAACAGGGTTAACCTGCAGGCAAGATGAGACAGAAAGCCTCTGCCCCAAGTATGCAAGATGTATGGCCTTCTCCCTCCCAGGACTTTGGGTGTCACTACCAGAGCAGCCAAGGTGAGGCCAGCTTCTCTGCCCACCCCCAATTCCAGAGTAGAAATGGGGGACACTTACCTTCCTCACCTGTGCCCCTGGGGCCACTTCTGCACTTACAGCTGTTCCTACCCTCCTCTAACCCACATCCTTGTGACAAGGAGGGCCTTGATCACCCCAGCTCACTCCACAAACATTTCTCAGGCCCCTGCTGTTTGGCAGGCCCTGTGCCAGGGCACTGGGACACTCAAGGAATAAGGCTCAGGTCCTTAACACAGGAAGCTCACATATCCTAAGGGTGGGAAGCAGGTGATGAGTAATAACAGTGAGGTGCCTCAGGGGTAGGACCCTGGAGTGGGCACTGACTGCTTGAGGTGAGGGGCATCACTCCTGGACATTCTCAAAACCAAGCCTGGGCCTGCTGCACATTGGGTTTCAGTAGATGTTTGTTGAGTGAATAAATGAGTGTGGAAGATATGGGTCTGGAGACCAACAGCTGCATTCTCCTGCCAGTATGTCTCCTCTGCCCAATTTCTTCCACTAAAACCTGATTCTGTCCTGGGGACCTAAGAGGAAGATACATCCCAAACATGTTGCCTTCCTTGCGATGGGTAACCAGGAAGAGGCCCCAACCAGATGGTTTCTGTAGGAGTCAGAGAAAGTCCAAGAAGCTGGACAGAGACTTCCTAGCACATAACCTGGGGGAAAAAAACCCAGGGACCAGTTCCCCAATTCCTGCACTGTGAAGAACTAGTTTTTGAAGGATGGGAATGGAGACCCTGGTGTGATTCAACATTCAGCAAAATATTTACTGAGTGCCTAACATGTGCCAGACACAAACCCAGCATCTCAGCTGGTCACCATGCCATGCAAGAGATGGATGAGTTGCCAGGCCCTGCCACTGACACTATAGGTCCCTGCCAGCCTGCTCAGGGCCACTGGCCAATTTACACTGAGGTGTTGATGACTGATAGGGCTGCAGGGGCATTTACATGTTAAGAGCAGCTGGAACTGGCAATCCTGAAGCCAAAGACATGACTCACCAGCAGTGGCAGTTCAGACGTGGGCCTGGGAGTCAGGGGACAGTCTTTGAACAAGGTTAGCCATTCTTTATCCAATCAAAGGCTACAGGGCACCACCTACTCCTGCTGGAGCTTGTGCTAAGCCCTGAGTTGATGAAGGAAATAAAGTACAGCCCCTTAAGCTAGTCCATGGGCCTTTCTGAGCTCCTACTGTGTGAAGGGCAATGTCCTCAGTGCTAGAGACCCATGAATGGAAAACCAAAGACAATGCCTGCCCTGGTGGTATCAGCCATGGATGGGAAGGATTGAAAAATAAGTAAATCAGTCAGGGATAGTGTCTGATGTCAGTAATCCTAGCACTCAGAGGCTAAGGTCAGAGCATCTCTACAAATTTGAAGATGGCCTGGTGCAGGGACATGGCGTCCTGACCTCCGCCTCCCCCTTGTAAGAGCTTGGGTATCTGTGGTATTTCCTGGAATTGTTTATCACAAGGACTTTCTCCTGATTCTGAGAAAAAGGTACACCTGACCCAAAAACTAGCCTTACATTCAGGTGATCCTAATTATCATGTGTCCTGACTCCACCTCCTATACTGAAAAGTATTTTAAACTCTTGTCTCAAACAATAAAGTCACAGTCGAAGTCCTTCCTCCCACTTCATGATGGTGTGATTGTTTGTTCAATCCTGACGCCCTCTGCCCAGAATACTCAGAGCTTGACTTGCTGGCGTGGCAAGTGGAGGTTCCACCAAGATCTGAGGAAAGGAGGTAAGCAGACAGTGTCGTCCTTGGCTGGTGAGGACATATTGGGGATAATATATAAGAATATTTGCAAATATGGGAAACGTACAAAGTAAGCATGAACTGTATCATCAGATTAAGAGAGTCTTGGAGGAACAAGGAACGGCTGTTAAAAGCAAGACTATTGAGCGGTTTGTTCACCGGGCACGGTCGAGCCAGCCAAGATGGCGCCCTGGCTGGCTGCCAAGCCTCGTGCCCCTCACTTGTTTGCTCCAACTCACGCAAGCGCTGTAAGCTTGATCACGCGGGCAGCCTGCCTGACATGATACGTCACCGAGCATGATTCTATTGTGTGGCCCAATGATTTGCTGTTCTGTCTGCATGTTAGCCCCGTGCTCATGTCCTGATTGGCTCCGTGTGACGGTCTGATTGTGGGATGGATCTGATGAGGGTATATATTGTTGGATGACGAAGAATAAGAGAGAGAGAATTGCTTGAACCTCACCTTGGCGTCCGTGTTGTCCTTTCCTCGGCTCTGCTGGTCGGAGTCTTGGTTCGCGGCAGCCTGGGGTACAAAGTGAATCTAGACCAGCCTAGGCAACAGTGAGACCCTGTCTCAAAAATGGGGCTAGGGATGTAATTCAGTTGGTAGAAAGCTTCCTTAGCATACCCTGGGTTCAGTCCCCAGCATCACATAAAACTGGGAATGGTATCACACACTTATAATTCCAGCACTTGGGAGGTGAATGCAGGAGGTTCAGAGGCTCAAAGTGATCCTTAGCTACATAGTGAGTTCAAGGCCCAGCCTGGGCTACATGAGATCCTGACACAAAACAAAGCAAAACAGCAAGTCCTTTGGTCTGGTGCATACTTGGCCCCTCCTCAGGTGATTAATTTTAGCTCCTATCTCTAACCTGGGCCTTAATCTATGCACCTGTGAACAGAATCAGTCATGGGCTCATGAGAAAAAGGTTGCAGGACTGAGAAGGGCTGGTGGCCTTGCAAGCTGTGATGATTAATCTTCATTGGCTACATTTGGAATCACCTGGGAGATATACCTCTGGGTGAAACTGTGAGGATGTTAAACCTCCAGAGAGGTTTAACTGAGGGAAGCTTACCCTGAATATCAATGGTACCATCCCATGGGCTGGGGTACTAGACTGTCTTGTGACTTTTTCATTGCTGTGATAAAATACCCTGACAAAAGCAACTTAAAGGAGAAAGGATTGTTTTAGTTCACAATCCAAGGTATAGTCCATCATGATGGGTGAATCAAGGCTGCAAGAGCTTGAAGCAGGTGGTCACATCACATCCACAATAGGAAACAGAAACAAATGCATGCTAGTGCTAAGCTGGCTTTCTCCATTGTATGAAAACCAGGATCTCCTGCCCAGTGAATGTTCCCATTCACAATTAAGATGGGTCTTCCCACATCAATTCACATAGTCAAGATAATTTCCCAGAGGCATGCTCAGAGACCCACTTCTCCATTAATTCTAGATCCTGTTAAGTTGAAAACACTAACCATCACATAGACTGAAATAAAGGAGGTGGGAAGGAGGAGGGGAAGGAGGAGTCCAACTGAGCACCAGCATTCATCCCCCTCTGCTTCCTCATAGTAGAAGTGCTGTGACCAGCCTCCTCATGCTCCTGCTGTCATGCCTTCCCAGCCATGATGGACTGATTTCCTCAGCCAAAA